TCTACCTGTTGATTATACATGTATGGACTCTGCGGTATAGGTGGTTGCGTAGATAAACCAGCAGATGGGTCTAATAACCTTTTCGGTTTACCTGTTTAAAGTAATTATTACATAAATTAATTATAAACAAAATATTATATAATTAATCTGTACTGTGATACTACATTTATGATACCATTTTCAAGTATAAAGCTATTTCAACATACAAATGAAAAATGACATTTGCTATATAAAAATGGCTAAAAAATCATAACCTCTATATTCTCTAGCATACTTTATACTATTATGCATTTTATACAGAATACATGAAATCAAAGTTGATGTTTTCTATGAATCTACTAATAATTCGAAATAACGTATGTAAACAATAAATTATTGTGAAGACACACAGCATTTTAATCGTATCACAAGTTCGCGACACAACAAACTTACCTCGACGTGCACTTGAATGATTGTAATTCATGATTGTATAAATGAATTTGTTGAATTATTTGTGGAAACACCAAACGTTAATAAGATATTTATTGATTACGGGATTAGACCCGACTATTCGTGCAGAGAAAATCGAAAACAATTCATACTAGATATACGTCGCCATACCCCGTCATTCATTGCGAAGTCCCACACTCCCACTCCAAATTCGTCATGATTCTCTCATCTTATACTTCTATGCACTTCTTAAATTAGGACAATTAGCATAATTCTGTAATTAATATTCTTCAATATTTAATCCAATATGCCATAGTAGATATACCACATGTACTGACCAAAAAGATTTACATTCATAAAACCAATAAACCACTCTGATGATAAACATATATGCTAATTGGTTAAGTTGGCCATTAAATGTCAGATGTGTAAAAAGTGTAACCTGTAAAATCATCGTTACTATTATTTATTACTGTAACTTGAGCGTATTAACATTATACTTACATAACATTTTTAGAGACTATTTTTAGTAAACAAGAAAAAAATGTGTTAGATACGTGTACTATGATATAATATGTTTTACAATGCAATATAATATGAAAAATATGTTTATATGTTATATTATATTATTTATATTGTTCGTATTAAGAGTTTATAATTGACAATTTGAAAAAAAAAAAGAATTTAGGGGGCACCCGGGTTTGAACCGGGGACCTCTCGATCTGCAGTCGAATGCTCTACCACTGAGCTATACCCCCAATTGACAGTGACTGTCGATAACTAAGATTAGAACTCAATGACGTCTACACATCTCATATTTAATTACAAAATTATTTGTTGTATACGTTTTATAGATTCAATAATTTATAAATGCATCTGTAATCTTTCTTAAATATAAAGAATTACACTTTATATATTTCCTTTAAAGTGATATTATAAATCGAAAAATTATATTAAGTTTTGCATGCTATATTTCGAATGTATAAATATATTGAAATAGTAAAGCAAGGTTCCCTTTCTTCTATCTTTGTTTTCATAAATATGAACCTTTTTATCTTTAAATATTTTTTAAAACCAGAATTGTATAACGAATTTTTATTTTCATAAATATGAACCTGTGTAACTCAAAATATGAACCTTTTTATCTTTAAATACTTTTTAAAACCAGAATTATATGACGAATTTTTATTTTCATAAATATGAACCTATTTAACTTTAAATACTTTTCAAAGCTAGGATTGTATACCGAATTGTTTTGTAGGGAAAATAAAGATATGTTCTATTCTTACATATCAATTATTTTAAGAACTGGTAATTAATGTTCCTTTATTGCTAGTGGAAAAATAAGTATTTCTGTTTCTATTGATACGTCACTGAGACGTTGGTATCTAAGCAACCCTTACATTAACTGGTCGCGGTATCAGAGGGTTGCCAGTGCGCGTTCCACCCTCGTGTGGTGCGCTTCACAGTCTCCGAAACGAACAAACCTCGTGGACGAAACGTCATTCGGTGTTGCAAACATATTCGAAGATTATAACAACCGTCGCGATGGAAAAAAGGAAAATGCTAACGGTACAATTTCGTGGAAAGTAAGAATCACATTAATTAAGTAACGCTTTCTCTCGACGAACACTCAATTAAATCAAAATAATTTCTGCACGTAATTAGAAGAGCACGTGTGACCCTTGCAGTAAAAGAAGATGGTCCTTTGCTTTCGCTTTCGAGCACACTATGTCAATAATGTGATAAATAAATACATATTCTCGCACATTTTTATTTCTTGTTTAATTTTCTTGTATCTGATTTTCGTACGAATTGCTTGTCAATCAATCATCAATCAGCATCCTTTGTGCCGCACAAGGTCCACTGTAATAATGTTGATAGAGTGGTTATCCGAGTTACATTTACCTCTAATAAATAATTTTATTGACAACCTTGATCCATCGACTATTTGTTCATTACGCATTATTTTCTCCGGCTTCGTTTCACTCGCTAAAAATAACAACTTGGATCTTTTGCATTAAGAAACTACCGTGCACGATATCAGAAGATGAAATGCAGTCACAGTTTTCATCAAACGATAGACACTTAGAGGAGATATTCAATTTACTGCGAAACTGAAACAACGCATAATTATTTCCTTACGTTTATTTTATCGAATAATTTATGTCACGTCAACGTGTCTCGAAAACGATTGTTTTCGCGCGATTGTAACGGCGATTGGAAATCGTAGATCATCGATTCGGTCGCGACAGAGACGATGGATCGAGGATTTCGCACAATGTTGCTGCACAGGCGCACGTAATCTCACATGAAACCGGAGATGTTATCATTAAATATTAACGACGCGCCATCACGAAGAGCGAAGGCCTACGCGAATTATTAACGGAGCAATAACGATCGACGTGCGGCACGGTGAATCAACGAAATAACGATTTTCAGTCATCGCCGCGTTAGGGCAACACGTGCACGTGGGTTCGTTGTACGTGTGTATATATATCATTAAACGTGCGCCACTTTGTTAGGGTCGGCCACACCGATTCAGTTTCTCGAGGCGTACCACTCTTGGAATGTACAATGCGTTTTACTATCAGCCTCTGGAATCTTTGAATTGATGTAAACGACACTGTGTTTCCCTATAGGAATTCATACGGATCATTATCGCGATGAATATACCGCGGGTATAATTCTGCGGGGGGGAGGGTCCTCGATAATAGTGTAAGGGATGTAAGCCTAGGGGGATGAATAGAATACAATTTTAGGAATCGTGTATGATAAGGATCAGGTACGATATCGGATAATGCGAATCAAATAGAACCTAGATGGATGAAATCTAGAACCTTATGGATAAGTTAAAGAGAAGATATGAGAAGTACTCGTAACCATTTTAACAAGTTTTTATAAACAACGACTATGCATCGGAATAAATGGAAAGATCGCAGCTATCGTTATCCTTGCGTGAATTATATTCAAGATCTAATCAAATCTTGGCGTAAGAGTACAAGAGCTAAGAAGCGCGATCTCACGACGACACAATTGTTACGAGACCGTAATGTCGATACGCCGTTAAGAAATTATCCTATCGCGGGTACCGTGACTTCTGTGCTTCGTCCGGTGTAATTTGAATTAATTAACAAATGAAACTGCGTCAAATGATTGCGTGAGAATCACGTCGGTGTAACGGGGGAATGTTCTGAAGGGATAGATCGTAATTTTAAAACCACTATCGATTCTCACGTACTGTTATACACATTATAGACTGACCTGAAGTATGGTTCCGCGATAGCGTGACACGTGACGGGAAACAGCCTAAGAACGTTAGACACTGCTGTTTAAGAACGATGGTAACACCGTTCGAATTGCAGAGAAAATTGCTTCAACGACGCGCACCAAAGTTTTTTTTTTTCCACTTTAGGTGCGTGACGAATAAGGCGACGGTGATTAAAATTAATTGCTGGTAACGGTGACCGAAATAGAACAGCGGAGCTTGTGGATATAATGGAAAAAATACTTTTATGGTATTTATTAAGCGTCTATTTACGTTTCAATGCTCTAATTCGGAGATCGTCTTCGGAGATGTAAGAGTGAAATGCAGTATTGCTCTATCGCTTCATCTTTTTCACGGTCTTCTTTACGCGGTAGCTTTTGCCTCGGCCGATTGAACTCACTCGCCAACTCTCCAGCAACCGACAATACCCTCCATCGTGCCAGTGCCCCGTGATTAGACCGACTATAAGCCCGAGCTTAGTGCTTTCGTTTAGCTCTCTTGTGTCTGAGTTAAATAAATCTCAATTATTTACGTAAGAAAAATAATACCAGCAAGCTCGCTACAATGAAATCAAACAAAAGTTAATCAGAAAAGAAAGCAAATATCTAAACTAGAAACGGGATCCTTCTAAGTTCGGAACAGTCGATCCTGTCTTTCATAGAAACTCAATCAAATCAAAACACTATTTCACTGGTAAACCCAAGGACGTACGCTTGACAGCCGCTGGAGGCAATAACGTTTAGTGCAACTGTGCCAGTAGCGTGCACCAGCTATCCGTTGCTAATTTCTTATCAAACCTCTTTTTTCCCCTCGAAAATCAATCGATTCATATCGCTCCATTTTCCGAGCACATACTCGCGTTCAAACACCGAACTTTTGCTTTTGCTTATTCGGCTTGGTGATTTCCTGAATTTAAAATAATTCTAATCTAATGTTTCCTATTACTTGGATTCAATTACTAAGTAGAGTAATTATTTATTAAGTTTACTATGACAATTTATCTATCGATCCCTTGTATATGTATATGTCATTGTGTCAAGCAATCATTTGAAATATCATAACATAAATGCTCTATTTATGGATATTACGAATTAATGCATGACATTCCAGTCAGACTAGGAAGTCTTAATAATAAATTGATTACATCTAAAGACAATAGTAAAGGTCACGGTCTTAATCTTACTAAATGAAATGGATGAATCGATGTTGTCATATCAATCTGATTCATACAAACTAATAATCAAAAAAATAATCTTTAATAATTTCAATAATTCCCTAACTCTTACTAACTGAATTAATTCCCTTCATATATTCAACCCCTTTGTCTAAAAAAAAAAATATTCAATCCTGCAATCAAATCAGTCACGAAATAAACATTACTTGTCGCATAAGGAGAATGAAGCTGAGCCACGAAAATGTTAATTTTTAAATCTATACGATGCCGGTACTTTCGCATAAAAACCAGTTTCCCTGTGGATAAGCGTGAGGTAATTAAAGCGACTGAAATAAACGAGCCATGCTTCCTAGCTTGCTTACTTTTTCTCCGCCGTCTTATCAAGCTCTGCATGTGATCGTGCCTTTCGGTCTTCACTGCATAAAGACACGTTCGGAACCCTAAATTTTAGACTCCGATCCAATTGTCTGAAACTAACGTACGTATAATAAGAACCTACGTCTGTCAGAGTAAATTACGATTAATTATTACTACGAATTGAAATTAGAATTTATTTAGAATAGAAATTTTCAAAGAAGATCATATCAAGACATAACATAATTCCTGTATAAGAATTAAGAATTACAATGAAATCATGTTTACACGAATACATAATAAACTCCGCTTTCTACAAATTTCTCGAATTCAGTTAAATTGATCAAGACAAAGTTTTTCAACGCTGTCTGACAGTCAATTCGGGTGGTTGATCAGTTTCCCTCCTGGAACGCTAGTTTAATGATTCATTGCAGGTGTAAGCGACACGCCTTGCACAAGGCGCAAAGCGGGTCGCTCGAACTTCCCTTTATACTTCTTAATTATGCACATCGACAGAAGTTGCCGATACTTTCATCTGTATACAAAAAGCGTGAGCAACTAATAACGAACAGACAACTTTGGAATCATTATGTGCGCTATCGAAGTAACAATCTGAATCATACAATTAAATTATAGATGATTATGAAATTATATATAAAGTTTCCTGTAATAATATATTTATCGATTCCTCGTATATATGTTATTATGTCAAGCAATCATTTGAAATATCGTAACATAAATATCTTGACATAATTTTAGTTAAATAATACAAGACAAAATGCATCGTCCCCAAAAGAAAACTTAATATAATTTTGTGAATAATATCAAACAGTCGGGATTATAAACGGGTAAAAATCGATCAAATTCTACTGGCGAACTATATAAAAAGGAAGTTAATATTAACAGGTCGAGCTTATAAGATAACAAAACTATTCCTTCATCGTACGGATTTCATAGCTCCATTCGGATTTATCCCGATGGTTTTATCAGCAGACGATGACAAGAGGAGAGAAACGCGACCTTGCCGTGAAATGTAGCATAATAGTTTCCCGCTGGCGATAGGTGTTGTGGCGTTAGGTTTCTATGGCAGCGAGTGACCTGGTCAGTTCACCACGTGGACACTAACCGGGCTTTAAATTCGGGTCGAGTTTAGTGATAAGTTCCTGATAGGATCTGCGATCGTGTCAGTCTTTCTTGAAGGAACGAGGCCTCGTTGTCTGTCGGTCGATTATTAGCGGAACCATTCTTTGTTCCTAACTATGGTACGGGGTTCGTTAGAAAACTAGCCGTCCAATCGATACCGCCTCTTACCTCGGAAACAACGAAAAATTCGCACGGGTTTGTCGACCATTTGTTGATCGTCGATCTTCGGCCAGCGAATCAGCATTGCTGCATCGCTGCGGATGTTTCTGACACCTAACGTTTCGGAATCGGTGATTATTATTGGTACGGCTCCGCGAAGGTGTTCAGTTTCAGTCACGCAGCAGCGGCTGTGTTTACCGAGTTTGCTCCTATCGCGCGGCAGTAGTATAAGCGCCTTCAGTCAGACAGTAGTAATGGATAGTCCGTGAAATTGCGCGGTGGAAAAAGATTCAGGGATTACGGCCGATTTGGTTCAACCAATGGCGAATCTAGACCTATCGGGACCTGGATCTAATTACAGTCGCTGATCGTTAAGGTTACAACGTTAGTAAAAGATTGCAACGTTAGTAAAAGTGCTCGTAATTAATACTTTTAAATACGGGGGTACTGTTCGTTGCTTATCGAGTTCCAGATTTGCTCTTTCTTCGGTGTGTCTGACAATTTGGTCAACGACTGTACGTCAAGAAACCCTTTCTTTTTCTGGAATGTTTTATATGGCAAACAGTATTATTAAAATATGTTCGTCATTCTGTTATTACATGTACAAAATAAATTACATCGCGAGTTTAGACATTTAAATTTAGAAAGCCGAACAGGGAAATGTATTAAAAATATTAGAGTTGCGGATGGTCATACTGTGTCCATTAGTTTTCAGAGCCATCTAAACTGTAATAAATGGAGAAAAATTAGCCTTAAAAGGGCCATCCGAGTGCAAATCAGAAAAAGATTCCAAGTGTACGCTTCATATTTTTTTCCCAACCACTGACCCCCTTCAGTGAACACGGTATCTGGTCAAACTAAGATTTTACTATATTTCAATTCTCGTAAAACCCTGAAAAGATCGGAAAGAGGACCACTGGCGCAATGTCGAGAATAAAATGCATGCTTGATATTGTTTTTTCCTCAAGCACTGACTCCCTTCAGTGAGAGTGGTACCGGACAGTCTCTTCGGTGCGATGAATTCGATCCGTGGAGAGGGCGAAAGATGGTACCACGCGAGGTCGGACTAGTCGCGAACCGGTGGCAGAGACGGGCATGGACACTAAGACACCGCCGATCCCGTTGAAGGTCCAGGAGAAGCCTAAACCGAAGCAGCAAGAGACGGTGGCCGACGTGTCCCTGCCCCCGCTGACACCTTACAGAAATCATCGGCAGAAGCAGAGAACGACCGGGAGCCAATGGTCGCGTGATGCGCCCAGCGCCGTACGGTATCAGGATCATCAGAAAAAAAGGCCTTACAGGTACACTAGCCCCTCGATCGATATGCGTTTCTTCGTGGCGTTGTTTAGAGCAGGTTTCTCTCCACGTTTACCAGCTAGACATAATCTCGACAATTTAAACGAATTTTCATCGAATTGTCTCGAATCATCAATCTCTAACGGGTCGATTCTCTCGATCACTGAATTACTTCCTTCGTTCGAGTATATAAACTTTAGAGCTGTCTCAAAATCACGCTCGTAGAATCCAATCCATGGATGCAAAAGAACTGCTTAACTCTTACAGAGTGCTGCAAATCGGCGCAACGCCCTTGATGCACGCTTGCCAACAGGGTGACAGAGCAAGGGTCCTGAGACTGCTCAAAGAGCAAGAGGAGACGATAGGGTACAGAGATCGCACTCTGAGGAACACGCTTCATTACTGCATGGACGCAGGAACCGGAGGTGCCGTTGCCGCTGCGGCACCGGAACTAGTGAATGCGCCCGACGCCGAGGGGCACACGCCTCTTCATTTGGCTGTCATCGCCGGCGACACACAATTGGTAGCCGTCTTGCTTGCCAACGGTGCCGACGTGAACGCCAGGGACTTGGAGGGCCACAGCGTTCTTCATTGGGCAACTGGTACTATTTTTTACAAGTCGCTCTTGACATAATATATCGTCTCTTTTTAAGATACTACGAAAAGTAAATTAGATAACGAAATACGTGTAATTTAAAAGTAGACTGTTAGAGGTGTACCGAAAATAAAATAATATAGTTAACTGTATCTCAAAGAAATGAAATATTTATATATAGAATATAATAGATCGAGACGCTAGTATCTTAAAAAGAAATAATAGGATATTTATACTTTAGGATGAAAATGAAATCATTTAACACGCAATGGGGAATTTAAATTATAATTAAAAATAAAACACGCGATGCTATACTTCGAATGAAAATAACACTATTAATCTGTTTCGTTTACTGATGTTAAAATCTGTTGAAAGTCGAAGTCTCTTTTTCCAAACCACTGTCTGTTAAATACAGAATGGTAACGATTAAAAATATTTTCAATCTGTTTGTTAGAAAATGTCTCATTTAGACAATCTTTCTCTATGTAGAACCGAGCGTGGCTGCTACCAAACTATGCAACACCTAATATTCGCTTTAGCCACAAGGCGACCGAATGGTAATTTTGCGGTCAGGGATTGCGACTGAACGCGACGGAGGTTGGATTCTTATTCAAGTTCGTGAAAAATAACCGTAAATAGGCGGTTCAATGCAAATCGAGTCGGTTTCCCCGTGGAAAGGTCGAGTCGTATGCGACCGGGCATTAACGATTCCTTAGAAGCTGCGGAAACTGTGAATTACCGTACGTATCTTTTCTACCGATCTCCGAACGAACAGAGGGTGTATTGGTCAAGTAAGGTTACTGGGTCAGTTTCGATGACGTAATTCCGGTTCGTCAAGGAACACGCGAGACACACGCCGTGATAATCCACGAGATTGACCATAGCCGTCCTTGATGTATTCAAATGACTAGAGATTTATTGCCCTAGACCGTAATTACCTGCTTTTCATTCCTCCTGTTCATTCGTCGGTGTTACGATTGAAAAAAAAAAAAAAAAAGTTCCTATCGACGGTTGCATCTTTACAATTCGCGAGCTTCTCGTGCGTGGACACTAAACAGTTTCGTCGACGAAGCTAGAGAACTTCTTGCTAAGTAATATTTTGACCTACTTGAACGCTCGCGACGTTAATGGCCTTTACCGTGTACCCAGAACGCAGCGTGACAATTAAAATGGCAATCTCGAGCGGCAATTTTCGGAAGCAAACGTGTGTTTACTATTCCTTCCAAGAAATACAATGTATTATACATCTGTTAGTTAACTTCGGTCTCTCGACCAAAGAATGGACTCGATTTGCATCGATCTTCGGAGAACCTTAAATTTACGAAATGAGAATTCGTCTATAATTGTTACATTAAAAACAAGTTTTCAAGCCTGAAAGAAACTTTAATTGCAATGTACAATCCTATTCGATAGAGAAATAGTGAATAGTATCGGTCAGTGTGACTGATTGTTTCTAAGATAAGAATTGATCTTGTATTATTTTAAATAAATTCTAATGGTGCGTTTACGCGCTCAAACTAATTGCACAAGCCGGCTTGCGCGAGCCAATTTGTGCAAATAAACTAGATAAAATATTGCCGTTCACACGAAATTTTTGTGTCCGAAATGGAAAATCTGAACGAATGCGTATGCTTGAGATTGTAACTGAGGCTTGAACGACATTTACACAATCATAACTCTGTGCTTCTTGTAATGCATAACATCTCATCTCTATCGGGACCCAATGGCCCTCCTACATTGCATAATTTGCATAACTTCTTATCTCTTTGTCGCTTGACAACTCATCTATGTGAGCTCCCGCTGGCTCCCCTCTAGCTGGGGTACCTCGGGGTTGCTAAGCCCGTACCGTAGCTTACAAAAACACCGCTACAGCCCCTGAGGACTACACGCACCAATCTCAAGCCGATTTTCTGTTGGGACAGATTTCACTCGAGCCAAATTTTTTGGCTTGCGCAAACCTCATGCCTGCGTTCACACGCTACAATTTACTTGTGCAAATAGCACTTGAAACCAACAAAATGATCCCTCGAACCCTCAATAACTTCGCGCGAAGTAAATCGTATGTTTCAACGTCACTAAAATCCTTGACATCGACCGTAAAAAAACAATCGACTTGTTATGAAATGCCATCGTGATATCCAAAACGCCCGCAAGTTGCGTGTATTACGGCATTCACGACCTTATTACTTGTAATCGTTAGTTTACTTAGCAGAGAGAAAGAGATGAAAGATTGAAGTAACCGAATACCAAGTTTCAAGGAGCAATGAATTATTCATTATCGAATAATGCAAGGTGTTCCTAAATATCCTAACCAATTACTAAACTGTTCTATTAATCCTACACGCGATAAGAATTTATATATTATATTTTTTAAGAAGTAAGTAATTTAGTATAGCTGAGCATCTGGGAGATAAAAATTCATTTATGAATTTAGATCGTAAATAGAAACAGAAATGGCAAACTCGTAATACCTTGTATCTTTGAAATAAGCTTGTGCTCGTGTTTAGTGTGTGGAGAAGCAGAGTGTGTTCGGCTGGTGCTAGCAGCGGGAGCTCAACCCTCGACGCCTGATCTCCGCGGGGGATCTCCTCTTCACTATGCCGCTCAATGTTGCGGCGCGGCCGCGACTGCAGAGCTTGCGGTGCCCAAGAAGGTTGGATTAAAAGTTCTCCAAACCCTCTTGGAATTCGGTGCCGACGTAAACGCGAAAGACGAAGACGGAAGGCAGCCGATACTATGGGCCGCGAGTGCTGGCAGCGTTGAGGCTGTCCTAGCATTGGCTAGGTAAACGTTTCATTCGAGACTTTTATCTAAATTTGAAGACACATTCTAATCCAAAACAAGTATAATACAAATACATAGTACAGTATATAGTACAAGTTTGAAAATGTCTGTCGAAAGAATTTCCGATTCTAAGAGCAATAATTAAAATACAGAGCCGGTGGTTCAGCTGCCGCTGGAGCTGCGGACAAGGATGGTCTCACAGCTCTTCACTGCGCCGCTTCCAGAGGCCACGCCAGGTGCGTATTTTTGCGTCTTTTGCATCTTTCTTACAATGATAAGGTAGATTACAAACGTTACACTACTAAGTGATTCTCTATCTTTATCTTATCGCCTATTATTCGCTCTACTCACATCCTTCCATCCACGCCAGGTGCGTGGAAGCTTTGGTGAACCTATGCGGTGCTCACCCAGACCACGTGGACGATAATGGTTGCTCGGCTCTGCATTATGCAGCCACTCTTGGGCACGCTGACGCCACGGCTCTAATTCTGAAACTAGGGGCTGATCCCAATCGACAGGATCGAAAGGGTAGAACGTAAGTATTCTCAAGGACCTGAAATAAACGTCCCTCCGAAAATATTGCCATTTTTATTGGCCACAACGGTGTATTGGATCGTTCGCTGCTTCAAATGTAAACAATTGATTTTAACGCTCTGCTAGCAGAGGTCGTCGTCAGACGTGACGTCAGAGGTCACGGAGTACAACGACGTCAGCAATATTCAGTATACGTATGACACTAGGGACTAAAGATAGAGTGTTGTTATCAAAACATCCTCAGTATAGCACAAGTACTTCGATACTGAAATTAATACTCCTGAATAATTTAATAGACGTACACTACCAATAGAGACAAGCTACTGTACTAAGTCTATAGACAAAGTATAGTCAAAGTAAACTTAACTGGGTTACTTCCACTATACAATTCAATTATGAAAACGCTCTATCCTCGTTTCTCTGTCAACTTTGTAATACAGATACTGAAGTTACATACCATTTAACACATTTCAGCCCTGCCCTTTGCGCAGCAGCCAAGGGTCAACTGGAGACCCTGAAGATCCTGGCCCAGCACGGAGGTTCCCTTTACGCGAGGACTGTCCGTGGCACAGGTGTAGCTCACGAGGCTGTAGCTTCTGGTAGAATCGAGCTGATAAAATGGCTGGCGAAGAAGCGTCCAGGGACATTGGACGTTGCCACGCACGACGGGAAGACACCTTTGCACGTGGCGGCTCTTCATGGTCATCTAGACGTCTGCAAGGTCCTCTTGGACAATGGCGCGAGGATCAACGCTGTCCTTCGAACCAGCAAGGGCAATATTATGACTGCACTGGATACTGCCCTGTATAGAGGGCACAGAGACTGCGCGAAGTTGATTCAAATGCACGGTGGGACTACTGCCCAGCAGTTGAAGATGCAGAAAATTGGACCGAACAAAGGTCAGGTTAGGTATATATATTTTGCACAGATATCTTTAAAGCGTCAAGTTTTCATGCAGTAGTTCTCACGGATGTCAATATAGTGCTGAGAAAGTGGAGACACGTCGAGCTCATTTTATCAAGCATATTTTCAATGCTAGCTGAATGGAGAAAGTATTTTATTGTTACTTGAATTATACGGAATCGTAAATTTCAGAATTGAAGAATGTTGGGAAACAACTCGCGTTTTGATGTTATCGCTATTTATTTTGAATAGTTGTAAAGCGAAAGACTAGGAGAAACGAAGTAACGAAATACTCGTCTTTTTATTGAATTTTTAATTTGCATAATTGCTCTTAGTGTTCGCAGCGAGATTGCAAATGAGACACGTGGATAGTAGCACCGACACCGAAAGCAGCCCTCGTAGACGAGGTCGTGGCTTGAAACTTCCGGAGCTCTACTACGAGGAGCAATGGATCGAGAAAAGAACACGAAGAAGGGGAAATTTGAAGAAACTTGTTCGTCAGGATAGTCGAAGTTTTAGCGAGGAAGAAGTAAGAATGTCGAAGACATCTTTAAAGAAGGATCATCAAAGGAGAGCTCGAAGTGAATCGGCAAGGTAACACGTTCCCTAACTTCTATATTTTTAATTCACCTTAATTTACCAAATCTTGATTATTTGAACAAACTCTAAATTATATAGGAATATCATTCAAAATTAGATCTCAAAATACACGATCGTATTTAATTATGAAAGAGCAATTTATTTTCTAGAAATAATTTAATGCTTCGATTATTAAATTTATAGAACTCTTGAATTCGCTATAACCAGAAGCTCATACCATAACGTGAGCCTACTTTCATACCAATTATCCTAGAATCTTTGTTTTACTTCTAATTATTACAATATTTCAGATATGACGAAGACGACACGGACCGTAAATTAAGAAGAAAGAGAAGTAAAAAGAGGTCGACGAGATCCAAGCGAAACTCCAGCGATTCCTCGGTAGACTCGGAGCGTTGCGAACGCGTCGAAGATCACTCGAAAGAAAGGTCAGAAACGCGAAGAGAAGAGAGTAAAACGGACAAGAGTAATGGAACGGAAGATAAAGAGGACTCGAAGAAGGACGACGAAGAGGACGAAAGCGTAAGCGACGACAGTCTGGAAATGGTGGTAGTAAAGAGATCCGTGGAAAAGAAGTGTGAAAAGGTGGTGTCTGGAAGAAGATCAAAGACACCCAGGGAGAGTTCCAAGGAGACCAAATTTACGAAGACGCAAAGGAGCACCAGAAGAAAGCTGAAGTCGAACAGATCAAAATCTTCCAACAATGGCGATAGTACGACAGATCGAATGCAATCCTCGGACAAAGGACAAGGGACGAAGGAGTCCGAATCTCACGAACGAGAGACCCCGAGGACCTCGATTGACGAAGACAAGAACAAGGAAAGCCCAGGGAAGATAATCGAGAGTCGATACAGGAAGGACGTAACCGACAGCACCAGCCAGGAAACCGTCGAACGAGTCGTTGTGACGGCTGTGGTTCACAAGGATCAACCTCCTGACACGCCCAAGATGGTGCTAGAGAGCACCAAGGAAGTGACCTTCGACGACAGGCTGAGAACGGAGGTGATAGAGGCCGAAGTGGTCTCCAGAGACGCTGGCGCGAGCAAAGTTGACGATATAGTTGAGCAAACTGGCGAATCGCGCAGCAATCTTGTAACAAAGGCGGCCAGCTTGAGGAAAGATGTCGAAGAAATGAGGCAGCAAGTTACTCAAGAGAGGACTCAACGCCAGGATAGAAGACGGAGCCTCCACGAAGGAGATCTTGCATCTGCGAAACAAAGGCGAGATGAAGAAGACGCGAGGCAGAGACAGGGCGAAAAGGTGTCCAGAAAAGATCACGGTAAAGGAGAAGCAAGGACGGATGAAAGTGGAAAAGATAAGACATCTTCTACCGAGGAAACGGAAAGCAGGAGACAGGAAGGAGTAGATGAAACAGGTAAGACTTTGAACGTAACGGAACAACTCCTGGGAAAAAGATCCAGCGAATCAACACGGCTATAGTAACAGATATTTACGTGGTGAAGGATAGGAGATACTTACAAGCATACAATCTAACAGTTTTTCTAATAGATTGCAAGTATACTTGGCATTTGTTACGCGTAGAAATGAATTCACTGTTTACATATTTAATTATTTTTAAGTGGACCGTTATATTTTTAAAAATATCGTGCAATTTTTATGTTTTTCATCGCGTTGAAAGAGAAGTCAGTTTGGAAGTCAGTATGGAACAAAAGAATTGAACAAATGATTAATAATTATTTCACAGAGGCAAACACTCGTAGATCCATGCCTTAAAACTAACTTAGGAAACATGCCTTAAACTTAAATAAGATACATGCCTTGAAACTAACTTAGACTAAACTAAGTACGCACAAGCAAACTGAGTACCCACAATCAATAGGAGGGACGCGAGACGCGAACGCGCGATCGCGAGATCCGTATCGACCGAAGGATCGTCAAAGAATGAGACCGCACCCTTCGTACACCTGTCGGTCGAGGTTCGCGGCTTGCTCGTGTTTCTCGACGTAGGGAAGGGGAAGGGCGAACAACAACCGCGTGACATGTCGTGACATGTCGATTCGAAGGGTCGTTGGATCCATCCACAAAAGAATTTACGAAACATTAATATCGCAACAAAATCATATTCCCCATCGTTGTTTAAATAATAAGTATCGTTAATAATTACTTCAACTTATGTTAGAAATTAATATTTAGTTGGTGTAATCAAAAGATATTAAAATATTGACAAATTTCTCACGATTAATGTCTCGAATGAATACTTCTTCTGAATCGTAATTGTTATTAATGTTAAATCGACCACGATTATGCTTTCAGATTACTTGTTGTAAATATACAAGTTACCGGTATATCTCATTGCGAGAGAGTTTGTGTAATGGCTGTGTGCAATGTTCGTTTGAAATAATTAAATTGTTATTTACAGACTGTAATGGCGTAAATTTGTATAAAAGCCTGCAGAAACTCTTTTCACATCCTGACTTCTTTTTCGCTGCGATAAGAAACATAAAAATTGTATGATATTTTATCAAAATAATCTTAATATATAAAAAGATAGTTTTTTCTTGTTAAATAAATGGTATTTAACACGGTCTTGACAGATAAACGATAGGTGTTTTAATTCTTCTTCGAACATTTATTCCTCGTCTAATTTTCGAAGAATTGTAACGGGTCGAGGAAACTTCCCCGTCAATTTTCTGTAGAATCCTCTTTCCAGGCAGGTTAGACGCACACGCGGCAACCGAGTCGGAAGTTTCCACGCTGGATTCTCGAAAACAGAATCAACGACTCCAGAGTCAGCCGGAAGGCGATTCTGCTTCCAAATCCGAATCAACGACATCCCAAGCTGACGAGACTCTCGACAAAGTGTTCCACGAAGATAAAACAGACGCATCCGAACGTACTTCCAAAGAGGAATACGACGAGTCAGAGGAAAGGAGTAAATCGGAGAGTTCTAAGGATGAAAGAAAAACTCAGAAGGAAGTCACCACGCCGAGAACCGCTGTAGAGGACATTCCGCCGTCGGAGGAGGAAGATAAAAAGCCAACGCCGAGGGAAACCGAGAGTAAATCTAAAACTGAACCAGGAACCATCAGGAGGAAGCCATCGATCGATGAAAAGAAATCTAAATCGTCCTCGAGACAATCTAGCAGCAGTGCCAGTCCGTCGAAGAGCGCTGGAGGTCGGAAGAGGAGGGAATTCGGTAAAAAACGGGAGTCCTCCACGAAAAAGGTGTCGACAAAATCGACAGAGAAGACAAGTAAGGACGCCGAGATGGAGGCACCAAAGGCGCAGGATGCTGACAAAGAAGTCACAGGAAGTACAATGAAGAATACGAGTATTCTAGTGGAAAGCTCGAGCAAGGAGTCGCCAGATGATAAGGAACAAGCGGATTCAGCTCGAGGGAAGTCTGTGGAGTTCTCTTCGGCATCGAGGGACTCTGCCCTGATGGAAGAGGGCGACGACAGATCCCTAAGCGTCGATACACCAGTCGCTACTAAAAGAAAACTGTCTGGTGAAGAGGAAGCTGTCAAAGACACATCTCCCGCGAAGTCCAATCTAGATGATCAGACGGAGAGTGAAGACGCAAAGAAGAGCAAAAAACGTTCCGTCGAGGACGCGTTGACGGGAGGTGAGCGTAGAACAACTTGATATTTTCATAGTTAAAATGAATAATTTGGTTCATTTTACATTGTTTCTTCCAGAAAAGGAGAGCTTCCGGTACATTGACGAAAGCTCGTCGAGTTCTCCCAAATCAGCACAGGCGAGACGATCGAGGCCCTCGACAGGAAAGGCTAGGCATGGGAGATCGTCCTCCAGAGCATCAGCGAAGAAGAGTTTATTCGAGAGTTCGGAAGAACGGTCACCCGATAGGAGCGCCATAGTCGCGGTCATCGAGAGCCCAGAGTGGGACGACGAGGACGAAGAGATAGCAAAAGAAATCCGAGAAGCGATCGGAGAGGATGATGAGCACGAGACAGAGCCTGAAGAGGACAATGAAATAGGAGTTGTGAGAGTACTGCCCAGTACGAGCGAGGAAGAGACATCTCGAACGGGCCCTGATGTCCGTAGAGCATCCATTACTGACTCGTTGCCTCAAGTAAGAAACTTTCGAATACAATTAGGTTTGGTGTGAGATGTAGCAACAGGAAGTAGACCCGTGGTTTCTAGAATAAAGAAGGTTCCCGTAGAGCATCCATTACTGACTCGTTGCCTCAAGT